GCTCTCCGACCTACCCTGCAGTGTGTAGGGTCTACATACACACACACACACACGCACGCACGCACGCACGCACGGTTGAAACCACTGCTTTAGGCTATATATTCCTGTAATTCTGGAAAATGATAAGTGAAAATTGTGCTGCGAAGGTGAGCTGGCAATGAAAAGTATGATTCTAATAATGTAAACTATTTGAATACCTTTATGCATATGTTAAACCTGTGTGCTTATTTAATGTTCTTCTGTTTATTGATGTTTGGTTTGTAAGTCAGTTTTGGAGTTTAAAGTTATCTGGGTGTACAAGAATATTCTCTACACACATAGGTAATTATATATAATACATGAAATCTGAGCATATAAACTCAAAATGACATTTTCTGCAAAACAAAAATATGCTTTTATATTTGGCTATTTCTAGACATAAAACAAGTCATTTAGTTAAGAAAAACTACTTTCAGTTTTCTGACAAACCACAAGCTAAGGATGAGGACGATGGTCTAGATGGGGTCACGCTTGGATCCTGACCTATGAGACACATCTGCAGATTCCTTCGGCGACAACTCAGAATGTCTTCAACCATAAATCAGACAGCACAGTTCAAATCTACTCTAAAGGCTATAAGACTATTCTTGAGGGGGTTGTGAATCCAGATTACAAGCACTCACTTTCAAGCTACTGGGTAAATTGATTTATTTTAAAATACCACTTTGTTGCACAGATTGCTCAAGAACCTATGACATGAATAACTGTTCAATAAAAAGCTGAGAGAAAGGTGAATCGAGTCACTCTGGGGTGTGTGTGTGTGTGTGTGTAGTGTAGAAAAGAATCTTCGATATATTTTGTGAATCTGACACTTTCTATCTTTCTGAAAACAATGAAAGTAAATTAAACTATTTTAGGCATAGGAAACTTTCTCATTTATAAAGTTTTCAGTTCTTATTCTTGTGAAGAAATGTTTTTAGCCTCTTCAATCCTATTAAGTTTGATAAATCTTTGGATAACGATATAACTGTAAAAAAAGATAGTGTATTAAGTGCATTAAATTTATATGACAATTGTCGGCACAGCCATATGAAATTTTCATTTCCTTATTGAACGACATCAAGATGTTCCCAGAAGCATTTCATATAAAATATACATCTTAGTCCGTTCAGGCTTCTGTAACAAAATACCACAGGCTGGGTGGCTTATAAACAACAGAAATTCATTTCTCACAGTTCCAGAGGCTGGAAGTCTGAGATTAGGGTGGCGGCGTGGTCGGTAGGGGGCCCTTTGGGTCAGACTTCTTATTGCATCTTCACAGCACAGAAAGGGTTGGGGAGCTCTCCGGGGTCCCCGTCGTGATCCCACTCATGAGGGCTGATCCTCAGGACCTGATCACATCCCGAAGAACTGCGCCCCGTCCCCTGGCCCCGCTAACGCAGTATCCTTTGGGATTAAGATTTCAATGTATGAATTTTGAGGGGACACAAACACTGAGATCAGATCACAGCAATATGCAGACATCTTTTCTAATGCTCACAAACGTTAGTATCAAATCTTGATTTTTTAAGTTAATAACTACATTCAGCGTCTGAAAATAACATTACGAAGAAGTCGGCCCGGAGTCTTCGCATCATGAACTAGGGAGGAACAGTTCCGAGCAGCACAGAGCAAGAAACCTCCCCTGTCACTTAGATCCCCGCTCTCTTCTTCAGATTCGCAGAACTTTAACCGAGAGATCTTTACCCCCCCAATATCTCTTTATAGCATCTTGATTTCTTGTGAAATGTGGTCGCTGATAGAGAAAACCATACCAAACATATGTCATTCACCTTTTTTATAACCATTTTCACTTTTATATAACCTCTCATCATTATTTCTTTTTTTCTTCCTTTTACCTTTTTTTTTTTTTTTCCATGCAAGATCATGACATATCGTGTTAACTGATATTTATTGGGCATTTGCTGAGACAGGCCCTTTGTTATGCACATTTCATGTATTATCTCTTAGATCTCAGAGAAACACTGTGGGCAAAGTAAAATTAGATTATCCCTTTTCAGACAGGAGAGAGTTTAAATACACAGCCAGGAACACAGCTGCTAAGTGGCAGGTAGAACCTGCAGTTAAAGCCGGGTCTGTCTGATGCCATGACACTTGCTTTTAACCTCTCTGTCACTCTGACCCTAAGCTCAGGGAAAGGTCCTACGATGAAGGCACTTTTGAGTGTCCCGACACTGCCCTGTTTCCACTAGATCACAATGCCATGTTCAGAACACAATAAAGCCACCACCAGGTATGAATGACAGCAGAGAAGTATATTTATAAATGAACCTTCTTTTAAAACACACAGGTGCACACACGCACATTCAACACCCAGGAACTGAATACTGTTCCTACCAGTAAAACTGATATTGTGGACAAACATTCTAAGATATATTAATATGATTACTCTATGTAGTTGACGGTTGGCGAATGTTTTCTTCATACATTAATGTGTTATATGAATTTGCACAACGTTTCTATGAGGTAGAAGACCGGTATTATTATTCTCAGTTTACACAGAGTTAAATAGCTTTGTTATAGGGACAGAGCTAGGAAAGATACAGAATATTGTGCAAATTTGTGTATTTTAATATATAAAAATTGTATGTACATTTCATTGTGTAATATTGGAACGATGGGATAGAGGCATGCATATTTCAAACATGTAATAAACAATCTATGTGTTGTCAGTTTAGGTTTCTTAAAATTAATCCCCAAATCTTTCTAATTCTTTTTTTTTTATAGTTAAAGTGAAATATATAAAGAAAGGCTTCTTACTTTATTGAATTATTAACAAAAGTCCTCGTGAGTCTTATGGGTTTTCTGTATAAATCATATTCACTTCCTTGGGGAATTCAAAACAGTGATGAATAGGGCATTCAATACTGTTTAGGTAATATATATATAGGCTTCAGTTTATGATTTAGATGTATTTTTGACATAATTCTCGATACATGCACCTAGGAAAAAGCATTCACAAAGAAACAGTGTTTTATCCTCTTCTTGGAAGAGAAGCAAATCTTTATCTCTTCCCTAAAATATTTTATGGTTGTGTGACTTGAATTTTAAGTGGCATTATATGAACATAATGCTTTGAGGATTTGGTCTGGCAAAATTACCATTTCCACATCTTTGTAGGAAATCAAACTATATTACAGAGACTTATGACTAGAAAGATCACATTGAATAAATTTAAGATTGTAATTAATAAAACTCTGCAAGCCATATGTCTAAATATAACTAATATATTTTCATTTTTGCTGCAAAGTACATATAAATTGAAACTTCTGAACAAAGATTGATATTCTTTACTGATATTTCTCAAGTGTTTATGTATTTTACTTCCACAGAAGAGGATTTTCAGTATATTATCAAGTAAGTAGAGACTATCAAGTAGGTAGAGTAAGTTGACTTATAAAGGTATCCATTATTGCAAAACTATGTTATCAAGAATTTTAATACTTCCAACTTAAATTCTGATAGCTAAAATAAGGTTTCTAAAAAGTTTTTAATGAAATGTTCTCTTCTCATGAAGATATGAAGGTTAAATAAATTATTTTCGATATCACTCTGATATAGTACTCTTTTAAAGTAGAAAGGTGGATATTTATATTATTTATTGAACTTAAGTGTGAGATGACATCGTAGCTTGCCACTAGGTCTTGTATAAGGCGCTGACTGAGTCTCCATGATTTATATTTTATTAGATCTACCTCCTGAACTTAATTGGTAATTTAAATTCTATTACTTAAAGCCAGCAACACATGCATGTTATAGCTGAAGCTCAAGCTTCCATCCACAGAAGGGAACACAGGAGCAGATTCGTGAGTGCTGCTGTAGGTACAATCAAGTTCAGGAAGCCGTTCATTTGCATGAGCATGCTTTCAGAATGTAAGACTTCCTGCTTTGATATGCGCTGCACCTCATATGACTTCCTGGTATGATAAGCAATGATTTTTTTCTTCTTTTTTAAAGAATTTATTAGTTTCAAGTATACAGTACATTGGTTAGACATATCGTTTATAAACCGATCCCCCTAATTGCTCTTTCTCTCCCCCGGCCCTCCACCTAGCCATTACACTAGTGCTGACTGCATCCCCTATGCCGTGCTCCCCATCCCCGTGACCATCTATCAACCACTAATTTGTCCTTCTTTAATCCTTCACCCCATTCTCCCAGCCCTCCAACCCCCTTCCCCCTGGCCGTCATCAGATTGTCCTCTATATTTTTGAGTCTGTTTTTGATTAGTTTGTTCTTTTTGTTTCTTAGATTTCTCATATAAATGAAGTCATATGGTATCTATCTTTCTCTGTCTGACTTATTTCACTCAGCGTAATAACTTCATTCTGGAACAGGAAGCTTTTATTTACTAAGGGCCTATAATCAAAGGGGAGTTTCTTAGTTGAAAATCAGATTTAGTAGTGAAAGAATAAATCGAAATAGACTTTATGAGTTTGTTCATTGCTTTTCCTTCCTATGGAGAGATTTAAGTTTTGTTTGTGATTCTAGAATACATTTGCGAAATATTAATATTTACAACATATTTTTGTTTCGGATACTAAGAACAATTCTTGAAATATGTTGTAATATTTTAGTCAGAAAACATTTTATGTGAACAGTTAATGCATGAATTAAAAAGTGCTTTCTGTTTTTCTCTGGGTCATATAAGGGAATAAAAATTTCACATTTTATAAAGTTCATTCCAATGCTATTTTTAGAAAGAGCGATAACTTAAAATCCTTTAAAATGTTAGTAATTCCAAAAATAAAAAAATTCTTATAATCTTTATTTAAATGTCATGTGAAATACTTGTAGGAAATTTAGAAAAGTCCATTACATGGACTTAATTTCAATAAAGTTTTAAAATACCTAGTTTTTTTTGTGTTTTTGGACTCAAACAACTCTATGACAATAGTCATTTGGTAAGATAACTCTGATCCATGAAAAATTAAATCCTTTCATAAAAATTTACATAGGAGAATGCAAAGATATTTTCTTATGTTCATATATAATTTCAAGAGGACATATTTTCTAATAATATTTATAATAATGGAAAATTAGTATCAATGATTATGATTTTGCTCTTCTGTGAAAAGTCTCATGAGATAATCATACCACGATATTGCAGACACATTAATACAACCACAGGCCAACCTTATTCCTAAAATATCTAATTATCAATACTCATTTCCTTTAAAGTCTCAAATATCTATCAGTGTGGAAGAGTGGGAAAACACCAAAGACTGCAAAGAACAAGGTCATCACCGAGGCAACCACTGCAACTCCATGCCCAGCGACCAATTCGGCCATCCCCTGCTGAGGAGAAAGAGCATAAAGTGGGCGGAAGACTGAGCAGAAAAGGTCCCAAACGCTCTGGTAAAACAGCTGAGAAAACAACCCAGCGGCGACTGAACCTCTACAGGAGGTCAGAGAGACGAGAGCTCGCTGAACTTGCGAAAAACAGAACAAAGCATCTGGGTCTGTCTACAGTGGAGTATGCTTTGTCCTCTAAACGTATCGCATGATATGGACTTGTGATTTCTGGCCACTAGTCATTGTAGAGCTGACGCTCATTTAGTAAGCTGAGAATCACACTTTGTCTTACAGGTCAGTGGGGTGGGGTTAGTGACACATAGCTACTCTCCTACAGGAAATGATGATGAGAGTAAAATTAAAGTGTTAAAAATGTTAAGTGTTTGCTTTGTTCTCTAGGCCTTGTGAGGAACACTTTACAAGAACTATCTTCATTTTAATTTTCACAAAAACTCTTATTTTAGAGATAAAGAAACTAAGTCGAGGAACTTCCTAGTTAGCTTGTTAATAGCATAGCTGAGGTTTATGTCTGGTTCTGTCTGGCTTCAACGTGTCTCTCTCTGTCTGTCTGTCTGTCTCTCTCTCTCTCATACACACACACACACACACACACACACACACACACACATCTTATTGTAGGGCCTGGAGTCAGATGAATCTGAGGCATTGGCAAGTCACTAAATGTACCAACCACAGATGAACCAAAATGTTCCTATAAAACATGATTAGCTCCTTGTGGTCCAGAAACAAAACATCTTCAAAAGCTCTAATTTAAAGCTCAAATAATGTTTGAGCTCATATAGTGCAGATCTGTCTCAATAATCGTCAGCTCCTAAATTGATTTGTGACTGTGACAGCTTAAATGCATTAGCAAAGATAACTTGAAAATATATCGCTTATCACAGTATGAATTTTATCTTAAAAATAAATTTAGTCAACTTAGAAGAAAACCAAACGATAAATAAGTGGTTTGTTTTGTTATAGGTGTGTGCATGTATGTGTGTGTAAACCAGAAGCCAAGAAACTGTAAATATCATATGGTTTAAGGATAAAATAGAATACATTCCGTATTCTCCCGTCTCATCTTTGTTATGAAAGTCTCAACCTGAAACAAGGTACATAGGGAGAAATTTTAGTCTTTGAATTAGATAGAGTTTAAAAGAAGTTACCTGTATTTCTTTGGGCAAGAAAAGCATATTGGCTAAGACCTACCCTGTGCCAGGAGCAATGCAACGCGGTTTTCGTACATTTTCTCATCACTTCTCATGACCCTGATTAGATAGGTTTCCCATCTTACCCTTCAAGAATTTGAAGCTCAGGGGATAAAGGCTGAGGAAATAACCCAGCAGCGACTGAGGGCACACAGGAGAAATGTGCCCGTGTCAGGGCTCCCTATGCAATTGGAATTCACACGTTTTTAATAGTATAAATCGCCAAGCAAAGCTTCCTGTTGTGGCTGCTGCTACAGTCCAGGTCCATTTTGACATGGATTGTTGTAAGTTTCATACTGTTAGTAAAAGATGAAATACCAAGGGAGGGAAAAAAGAAGTCCTTTTAAGTGAGAAAGAGGTAACTACTAGTTAGACATAGAATACATCTATCAGAAAGCCTTAGTTTCTATGTAAATTTATAAGTTGTATGAAATAATAGATTAACTAAGAACTCTTTTTTTTTTTTTATAGCTAACATGGTGACTTAATTCTTGGTTATTCTCTTTCTTATGGGGAATAATCAAATTTGATAAACGATTGTTATTCTTGTCTGCACCTATAACAGATATGGTGGTGTTAATAGTAATAGTAATGCCATCAACTTCTATTTTCAGACACTTTTGTAAATCATTGATCATCTTCATGTAAGTTTTCAACGACAACCAAAAAATCCCCCAATTTCTAATCAATGTCAGGGATTTTTTTCTAGCACAAAATTATTCACAAATTTATCATACAGCAAAATTACCAAAGACTGAAAAGGCACTGTCGCTAAAAATTTCTTCTAGAATGTTTTGCAACATTTGGACTTAGGAGGAATAACAGAAGTATCTGAGATCGCTATAATGACTTTGTCAACAATTTATTATTTCAAAAGAAATTGACACTGAATTTTTATTATTTTAAAAAAACATATTACCTTTTCCCAATATAAATGAATACAATAATATTGACATGACAATCAATATAGTCCTAGGATAGAGTCCCCAAAATTGTGTAATTTTATGTTATTCTATATTTCCAGAATTGATCCAGTCTCACAAGAAGGCAGTCAGAAACAGAAGGCGATATCCATGGGTTGTTTTATGTTACTTTCATTCTATATATAGAATGTTAATAGAAAAAAACCTAAGTGGTTTCCTTAAGAGATAAAGTAATGAAGCTTTCAAAGGGTGTAACTGCTGAGCTGATAATGATGTACATGAAATGGAAATATTTGGACAATGAATTTTCCGTATCTCCCTAAATGAAACTATAAAGTTTTGTTTCATGGAATTGTGTTATATCTTTCCCAGAACATTAATCTTTCAATGACACCAATATTTTTACATAATTTAACACCATAATTAACTTAACTGCACTTAAATATACATATATTTTATCTTTATAACTGAAAATTCAAATGTTATGTGTTGGCTTATGTTTAAGAAAAATGTGGCCAATTTGAATAAAATGTCTTTTGTCATTGAGAAAAAAAGTTAATTGGTTGAGTGAACTTTTAATTTCAACATTTTATTCTGGGTTGAGTATAAATAGTCAATGAATGAGCAAAGAACAGAGCTTTCTAAATGCATTAAAACAGTAAGAAGAAACTTCTGATTATGATGACTATATGCTCTGAATTTATACAATTACAAAAATATAAATCACTAGTGTGCAGACACCAGACGAAAGAAAGCATGTACTTTGTTCCCGGAGAGAAGGGAGACAGATGAGTTGTCTTTTACAGGCTAGAAGGTGAGCAAGTGGATCCAAAATACGAAAATCTGAGCTGTACCAGTAGCAAAATCAATTGATAGAAAGAGTTCCAGAAAAATAAGCATCTTGAAGTGGTTATTATATTGCCTACATGTTCAACGTGATAGAGAAAAACAGGAGCGTGATAAAGAGAAATTGAAGATAAAAGGGACCAAATTAAAACTCCTAGACTTTAGAGTCTTTCCGTTGTGATACAATCTATTTACGTGGAGCACTCCAAGAAATTTTGCTATGAAGCTTTTGACTCAATAATTGCATATGCTAATTAACATAGCAAATAAGTTTCTTGGTAAGTACCAGCAATTGATGAATTTGACTCTATAGAATTTATTTTAGATTTTTTAATATTCCAGTACATTTATTCCAAATTTCTCAAGAAGAACAGTTCCATTAAGATAATTATGTCAATGATGAAATAATAATTTCAATAGAACAATTTATATAGTGCTTTTTATTTTGCCAAAGTCAGAGATTACTTATCAGGAGGAGCACGTCACATATCCTCATACAGATTTCCTTAGTAGATATTTTTGCTTGATAGGAAATAAGAGTTTTCTTGATTCTGATTTCTTGAGCCAAATCTTCCATTCCAGAACCAAAAATGAGTACAACATCATATTCATTATGAAGGAGAAAAGTTGGGTATTGACATTGACTGAGAAGTTATTTGTTAAAATTTTTTCTCTCGAATGCTACTGTTCAATAATGTTCACTATTTATATAAAAAAGTTCAATAATGCCACTGCTTATGTGAGATTTTGACTTATACATAGACAAATCAGATATAGGTTTTCTACTAGAATGATTGCATTTCAGAGTATCATGTTTCAGCTTTCAGAAGGCACTATCAATTTCTGTTCCTTTGTACAGCACTTACGGAAATTTGCACAGGGGGGAATTTCTCAAAAAAGCATAAACTCGAATTGCTTTTTATATAGAAAATGGTCCTGGTAATCTCATGCCAGCACAATCTGCTTTAGTTGAAACTGTACCTTACTCGGTGTAAGCTCATTTTATATGCACACTACAACTCCATTTTCAGCTAGCCGAGTTGGCCGTCCTCCCCTAAGATTGACGTATTTAGCAAATAAAAATATAGGATTTCCAGTTAAATTTAAGTTTCAGATAAATGACAAATAATTGCTTAGCACAAGCATGGCACATGTAATAGGCGGGACATATTTATGCTAAAATATTTGTTAGATTTCACAGAGTATTCTCTATTTTGCCTGACAACTCCACCCTATGCCAGAATATACTTCCTTGTGTGGACCCTGGAGATACATGCAACTAAATATATTCTTTATTTGAATAGTAATTTGATGATCTTGTGATTATAATAGTTTTACTGTCATACTTATAGTGGTTCAGTTATAATGAAGTTATCTGTCTTGTAAGATAAGGATTTTTATTTGTAGACTTTAAAAATAGTGCACATTTACATGTTAACTTGAAATATCGTAACTAAAAATATTATCTTTCCTATTGAGGTGGCAGGTTTTTGGGCAGATGAACCTGGTGGTAGACATTACTTTGTGAAAATAATATATATTTTCCAGTGCAGGAAATAAGCGGGGTCAGCTATCTGTCCTATAAAAGACGTTTGTTTTAATTGTGCGCAGTTATATGAGTATTGATATTATCTCTATTGGTATGAAATATATTCTTAGATTTTGGATCAAACTGCAAAATTTAGTACTTCTTTCAGGAGCCATGCTTTTTCTACTCCTGAAGTGTCTACAAGGATCCTCTGTCTCTAGAGCAGGGTTTTAAACAGTCCCTGTGCAGGGCCAGGAGGGGGTCATGCTTACTGAAGTGTGTCCACATGGCTTTACATCTTCATCCTGGCAGAGCCTTGGCAGCTAAAATCTTTACATCCCAGGCTGTTCTCTTTTCTCCTATATAATGCCAATTCAGCTCTCCAAACTTGAAGCCTGACCATGTCTTTAGAGTGAATTGACAAAATTAAAAGGGTATAGCCTTTTATTTTAAAACTATGAATTGTTTTAGAGGATTAACAAATGGCTCAGTAGTATACTTCCCCTGAAACTTATAATTAAATTCTGTTTCATAGAATTCTTTGCATTCTGCAGAAACAATAGGATGGCTTATGTCAGATATATCATGTAAAAAAGCCAAACGTATTTAAGGCCTTAGAGATTTTTGATACATTTTCGCTGTGTTTTCTAAACACAATGTCATTAGATGATTTTTCACAGATTTTCCCATGTGAATATTCCTGTCTGGGATGGCATCTGTAGCCACAATTACTTTTTTCATAATTGATAAAACATAATAAATCAGGTCAACATTTCATCCAGCTTTCTTAAATAGAAATACTTTTTCAGTGTAAAAGCTTAAAGGGTAGAATATAACTGTAGCTGTTTTGAACAGAATTAGATACTTTATCACCTATTGGAACAAAAAATGAATACCTGTCAGGTATTTCCAATGACAGTAATTTGAAAATGGAATTATGTACACAATCATGCTGTAGGACAACTGTGGCAAATTCTCGTTGACAGCTCTGGTTTGAAGATAAGATGCTCTATAATAATTCCGGTAATTTTCTGTAAGTTGTATAACAAACTCGGCATTTGTTTATCTTCCGGATGAAATGAACGATCATCAGAGCACCGTGTCCTACATCCTGATCAGCCTGTCTCCACGCACCAGACTGGAGCTGGACGATGTTGTGTAAGTTGATCTCAAACCTCACACAAGGCACTGCTTTGCAGAAAACCACTAATTTATTATTATGTTTATTTCCACCATGACAGCCTGCCTAACCCCTTAGGATTCTTGTGATATAAACGTCCGAGTCTAATTTTTCTGTTCGATAAACACATGCATTTTGTGTATTGTTGTGTGTAATACTATTTTTAAAGGGCATTACATGGTTATACAGAGTAAAAGGCGAGGATTTTGTATTCTGTGAGCTAATATATCTGTGGGGAAATAAGAGGAAATACGTGGAATAGTAAGAGATCGGCTCAAAGGAAAACCTGAAATATCTCGCACTACTCAATTCTAAAGACCTTAGATTTCTCACCAAAGTAAATAGGTCAAAACATTTACCTGGCTAAAGGTCTACAGCAGTAAATCTGATTCATCCAAAACTATGCATTCTGCACAAACAATGCACTAGTGTTGCCTTAAAAGTGTGACAGAGATGAATGAGACTTTTTACCTGATTTCGAAGTGCTTCCACTCTAATTTATGAAACTATGATTTAAGCATAAAAAATGTAATATGTAATATTACGTTGTCACTAGTGAATTAAGCATTAACTGAGTGAGACAGAGAGGGCTTTTCTACATCAAGGAGGAAGATGCTATTGTTAGTTGGTGATTACCAAAGATATAAAACTTGAACTGGAGTTTGAAGGGTAGATAGGATTCATGTAGGTGGAGAGCAGAGAACATTCCAGAACACGGAGAAAATTTGAGAAGTTGTAGTATGTGAAGATAGCATAATATGGTTCAGTTGGCAATACTGCAATAGCCTAGTTTGACCAGAGGACAAACTTTGTCTTATCAGCATTTCTGTTGTTAGTTAAACATAATATTGGAAACATATATTAAACCTGACTCCAAAAGTCTCGGAGGGTGTTAGGTCCGCAGGGCGTATTTGCATCCATCATCAGGAAAGTGAGTAATAAGGTCAGAGGCTTGGTGCTGTGAGAACATCCTGCGGTGCAGAGTATACAAGGGGTCCACGGAAGTGGCTTAGACCTAAAGCCGATAATATGCCAAGAATTAGAAGCCTACTTTTATATGTTAACCATTTTGTGGGAGATTTGGGCTGGGGTAGAAAGGGTTTTTTTTTTTTTAAAAAAATAGGAGAACCAGCTGAAAAGCTGTTATGGCAGTGTCAAGGGGATCATCTGTCACAGCGTCAGGATGATGGGCTGTAATGGCAGGTCCTGTGTAGATAAGTTAACGAAGGCAATGAGTGTGACTTGTTCGTCCGTGTGGCAGTTGGAAAAGGAATCCAGAGTGGCTTCAAGATTTCGAATTAAAAAAATGCTGGCTGACTGAAACAAGTCAGAAGAGGGAGGCGATTTTCCAAGCAGGAAACAGGTGTTGTTGGCTAGAGAGAAAAGAGAGACCGTGAGCTGGCGTTTAGGACATTGCTCAGTGTGCTAAGCGGAAAAGTCTAGAAAGCATGGGAGATACAGCCCCACAGCTTTGAAGGGAGGCTCTCTCTATATGCAAAATATTCATTTCTCTTCTTCTAGGTGAATAAAGCAAAAGAGAGAATGGGTTTTCCAAAGAAGAGGTACATAAAGAAGAAAAAGTAAAAGAATAAATATTGGACTGCTGAGTAGTGCTCAGTTGGGGGCAGAAAGGTAAATGTGTTTCGGAAACTTCTTAGGAGGATACGTCAGCAGGAGTAGCTGTGACCCAAAACCAGGGTGCAAAGACTTGTATAACGTACCTATGACACAACTAACAAATATAGTAATGCTGTAACTTGCCATCTGAGGATACTGGTTAGAATACAGGACCTTTGGGGAAAGAGACGAATGGCGATGTCAGCTGCTAGGGATCTTAAGGCAGCTGTCAGAAATTATATCCAGTGGCGATGTTGAATTTACGGAGCACTTTCGGTTGGAAGAAATATCTTATTTATGATGCACTTGACTTTCAATTGCCCATTCCGAAGACTCTGCGTAGTCTATTACTATAATAAAACAAAACTGCTCTATTTTACTTGTGTCTATATTTATAAATGTCTTTCTTCCTTTAAACCCACAAAATCTGTCAATTTTTATTGATACTCCAATCTGCCCATGTAATCCCAACCTTCTCATGCCTCTTTTCCAAATTAGTTATAATTGTATTAATTATATAGGGTTTTTAAAAAGTTATGATCACCTCATCCATATTTCATCATAAATTCTGTTTCCTGAACCTAATATAATTATTTCCCACGATTATTTTTGATGGAATGGGAAGATATCGTGAGCCTTTTAAGTCTATTAACACATCCATTCATCAAGTAAATGCTTATAATTTGAAATAATTTCCAAAACTCTTAAATTTACAAATAAGATATTATGTTACAATGTATACAGGTAAAATAAATGTAACATTTTCTGCCTTTTGGATACTATTACTTTTTATGTTTTCAGCTAAAACATCAACTTGACTGGTAGAAAAACAACTCTTTGCAACGATTCATACTTGTGGCATTGAGAAAATTAAATTTTAGTTTAACTGGCACAATAAATATCATGAAAAAAGATGCCTACCATGACTAGTACATAAAAACACATTTAAGAAATTTATTTAATAGACTCATAGCTTTTGTAGTGATAATAATAGCGGAAAGAACTTTTCCAGCTACATCGGTGGATTTAGGGGATAATGGACTATACTCAAGCCTTTTATGCTTTTCTAAAAAAGCTGCTCTCAAAAGTTCATTTTAAATGAAGGGGCAATGTTAATTTGATTGGAAGAACAATAAATCACTAGATGATATGGTGTTAAAAAGCTTCTTGTGTACTGTTAGTTTTCTTTACTGATCTATAATGCTGTTGATATTTAAAGTAATTACAAAGCAGTGAGCACAGTTGGCAAAGTCCAGTTAACAGATCCGGGACACTCGTATCAACTGTTATTTGATCAAAGAAAATAGACTGCAGTGCTTTAAAAGGCCTTGTCTCATTTTCATTAAGGAAGATATTTTATGAATATTTTTCTTCTTTTTTTTAAGAGGAAAAGTACCATCTTCATTAGCGCTTTCACTTTTAAATCAGCTTCTCTGTTCATTTTTTGTACCTTCTAAAATTATTCTAAAACTATGAATACTGATTTCATTTGCACCTGAAACAAGACTTTCTACAATGCTGCGCTACATATATTTACTTTTATTCTCTTCCCTCCTCACCCCACCCCCACAAAAACGAAACCAATCAATAACAATTAAAAAAAGTTTGAGAAGTTGTAGTATGTGATTCTACAGTGGCTTCCTGTTGCCTTGGAACAGAAATTATCCTGGAACTTAAGGTCCTGCATTGATTATTTTCTACTTGCTTTTCTTCCTGAATTTACCTGGTCTAAGTGGTCTGTTAAAGTCCACTCGTTTTCTAAACGTATCGGGAACATCCCTCGTCTGCGTCCCTCTTGTCGCTTCTCAGATTGCTTTTCTGCTCTTCTCCACGTGAGCCTGGAGAGACCCGCTGGACCTGCCCTCCTGAACAAAGTGTTCCCTAATTCTTTCTTCTGCTCTTTTTTTTCTTGTGTGATTTTAGGAATTTCTTTTTCTTCTTTATATCGGCCTCGTAAATTAAACTCTCCATTCTTCTGCAGGACAGGGGGCAGGGTGACTTTTTGTATTCTCAGGTCCTGGCACAGTATTCAGAGGTGCTCAAGAGATGCACGTTCACGACATCATTTCACCGTCTGAAGTAAAACATCTCTCTTAAATTCTAACATTAAGGAAAGGTTTGAGTTTAGCAGGTGAATTTTTTGCCTATTTACAAGTAGAATGAATTAAAAATTATTGTTTATACATTTGTATTATTCTTATATCATAAGCTGAATTTTAGATTATAAATTTCCAGATTATTAATATATTATTTGTGCATAACATTCTCTACATTTACTAAATCGTTGATTTTATAGACTGACAGAATAAATTAAAAAGAATAAAGAAATCATTTAGATCAAATTTATTTATAAATGATAAAAAATAAGATTAAACTCAGTTAATAGAAGAATCATGGCTAGGATTTAGGTCTCCTTGATAGAAAAACAGCCAATGTAAGGGATAATTAATCAACAAAATAACTAAAATAAATCATAAGTCTTTGATAAATTGAAGGTGGTGAAGTGGATCATAACTGAATATAATGATTCTTGATTCATCAGCATTCATCATTATAATCTTCTTAGGTATTTCGTACCTATCTTACCTAATACAAACCCTCAGCCATAAAAAATGATGAAGAATTGCCATTTGAGACAATGTAAATGGCTCTTGAGAGTATCATGCTAAGTGAAATCAGACAGACAGAAAAGGACAAAAACCATATGATTTCACTGATATGTGGGATACAAAACACAAAGCAACAAATGAACAAGACCAATAAACTCTTAGACACAGTATGGTGGTTAGCAGAGGGGACAGAGGGAGGAGGGAGGATGAAGAGGGTCAAGTATATGGTGACAGGAGACTAGACTTTGGGTGGTGAGCACACAGCGCAATATAGAGGTGTATTTTAGAACAGTACACCTCAAACTTATATAATTATTAACCAATGTCACTCCAGTAAATTTAATTAAATGAAAAATTTAGATTAAAAAGAAAATACGAACCCTGCGAAATTTTACAGGCCAACTAAACTGTGATTCCTTCTACCGATGTTATCAGTAGAGACACTTTAGGTAACGTGAAAATCGAACATACAGAGGTGAAGTAGCAACCTCAAGTGTCGCTGTGAATTAGTTTTGCGTTACTGACCATTACAGCTATTTGCTTTGTTTTCTTAATCTGACCAGATCCTCTGGCGTATCTCCCAAACAATGAACCCTGTCGAAAAAACAGCATCTGCACCACTGGTCAAGAGTCTCAGGAGGAAGCCCAGCTTTGATAATGAGAAAATCAGAGATGTCTTTTTTTCTACAAGGATCTCGCTCAAAATAACTCTACGTCTTAGGGAAAAAAGTGTTGGTGGCATAAAATACACTGTACTGGAATGCATTTAAATCTTACATGTTAAAAAAATGTATTCTCTTGGATGTGTAGATTATTTTGAAATTTCACATACTACTTATTGGTATTCCTCCTATTAATATCCGAAAGACATCAATGAAATGATTTTGAAAACCTAAATTATAACGCAAAATTCTAAATCTGATATTTAATTGACAATAATCCAAACTGTATGAAGCCGATTTTAAAAAGTATTAAAATTCTGTGAAAGTGAACTAAAAATCCAATGGACAAAGATTGCTGCTCTTCGTAAAAACTAAATGTGTCACAGTATGTTCTTTAAACTCATTGTTTTATAAAACTGAGCTCATCCTAAATGTCTAGTCTTTTCTATCCAGAGATTAACAAACAAACTTGTTGGCTGACATTTTTGTAAGAATCATAGTTTGCTTTAGAAGATAAATCTTTATTTTAACCTGTTTTTGTTGCCTTTCACGTGGTATCATATTTTAGCATATTTCATTACTCTGAAGAGACCAAAACAAACAAAAAGAAATATCAAGTAACTGAACTTTTCGCTAATGTTGTCTGACACACAATGTAACTCCAAGAGAAGTATACTAAAAAGCAAATATTGATTGTTTTCCTAAAAGAATGTCTAACATAGATAAAATATTTAAAACACGTTTGTTGACTTAATTTAGTTTAAGAATTGAAACATTAATTGAAATATGCAGTAATGATTTTATTAGGCTCTTGAGTTTTAACACTTTTGATATACCTATATAGACTATTGCATTAGAAAGATACTTTAAAATTTGAAGAAGCAAAATAATATATCTTGTGGAATACAAAGACATATTGAAACATTAAAAATCCTTCTTTATGCCTTTGGGATTGAAATATATAACGATACATAAAGAAAATGGTATATTAAAACATCTGATTTAATTTTGAAAAATTATCTATAGTAACTATGTTTTAACATTGCGAGGAAAACACATATAATAATGATAGGTAGTTCTGCCTCTAAATTTAATATAAATCATGCAGAATTTGACAGTTATAAATTTAATATAAATTGACCCTTAGTGACACCAATACTTTTGTTTGTACTTCTTTATCCCCCTTCAGAAAGGATGAAAAGCACAAAAGCATAGTTTGCTATGTAGCTGGAAGATGTTAAGGTATTCCCATAAAAGAGACATTGGTAAATTTTAAAAGATATTTTTCTTCTAAATTTAAAATCTTTTAAATTTTTGAATGACAATAAGTTTTAATTCAATGGAATATAGAAATATAAGACTAGAAAGAGATATTTTATCCTTTTTTTTTCATGAAGCAGATAAATTGAAAGGAAAGCAGAAGGATTAAACAAGACAAAAAAAAAAACCCTAATAGTACTCAAGTAATTCTGTAGAAATAAAAATGTAAAACATTATATGTGAAATCATAGATTATAGCCACTGTATAATTTGGTTTAGAGAATATAAAATGCCTATTTGTTGTTTTTGTTTTTAGTAATTTCACATTAGTCTCATTTTAGAATAACAAAAACCCCAAGAATTTTCCCCAAAACAAGGAGAGCCTGTCTTTAATTTTCTTTAATCAGACAGAAATGCAGAATTTATAACAAGTTACCTGAAATTGGAAGTATGCCTTAAAACAAATTATTGTATGCGTAGGTGTGTGTATGTTATAAACACATGGGAAATATATTTGGCAAACACATATTAACATGTAAAGTATAAAAACTGAAGGCAGGATCGACTGACATCTGTAATGGGGGCAACGGTGAAGTTAATGAACCTGTTCCATATCCGCATATCAGCAGCCAAGTATGATGTTTCTTTGAGTTGCCATTTCTTTACTTCATCACAGTTATTTTTAGGAATAAATGTAAGATTTTGTGAATCTTCTATTTCCCCACACGATCTCAAATTTAGTGTTTTTGCATTATGAGTATTATCAAGATTAGGATTCTTAGGATGTGACTATATTCCCAACCGTATCACATGGCAGTTGTCTCTGCGTCCACTTCTCACCAGGCGAAGGAGGATCGCGAAGAGCCACAGAAGGAAGGCTCTACTGAAAGGGCTAAGTGTAGGGACTCAGTATTTATTCCTAGTGGCTCTGTCAGAGGCTCTGAGGGACAGGAAACCACAGGTGGGCCTTGGTGTCTGAGTGACAAAACCGGAAATGGCTTTTGCGGGAGAAAACTACTATAGATTTGGCCATCTCAAAATTATGATGTAGCGATTGTATGTTGTCATAAACTAAAAATGGTCGATGTGAGGACCTGAGATGCTCAAAAGTAAATCTCTGATGTAAATCATTGAAAATATATTCAGCTGACAATGCCCACTGCTTATCGCACCAATCAGATGCCATCTGCTCACAGGACATGAACCCCGGGCTCTTTTTTCACATTAGCACAGAAAAGAGATGCTCAGATGCCCAAGGGCAAACCTGAGGCCCATCGTTTTTCCTCTTCTGCTTCACGTTATTTCTGCTTCCCAGAGGTGAACGTCCTAGCCCTGTTATTTCCACCTGTTAAACGACTCTCAAATCCTACATTCTCGCCGCAGCCTCCCCAGACCGGAGCACTCGCTAGCCGAGACCTGGGCTGCTCTAATAAACCTCCCAAACCCAGTCATGCCCTTGTCCATTCTTTTCTTCAAATAATGATCAGAAAGATTTTTCAAACAACTTAAAGTTGATTCTTACTGAAATCAACCAAGAGCTGCTCATCACTCTTGGAATAGAGACGAAAATGATCGGGCCTGGCAGGTAGGACCTGAACCCTGCTTTGCATCCATCATCTCACCTCTCGCTCACTGTGTTTCACTCCAACCGAACCGTTTTCAATTTTTCAAATACTTACTTATCTTTCTGTGCCCAACAATGCAAAGTTTCATATTTTGAATGTTACTGGATTCCAATCAATTAACCAATTCCCCGCCTTGCATGACCACCTTATACCATCCAGACTAGGTCTTGAAACTTGACTTCTCCCTGCTACCTCCCTACTCAAGTTCTGTCAAAGCAGGAGTCCCCTTTATTACAGGAAGACTGATTGACAGGTTTGCTCGCTAAACGTCAGCATCAATTGTTCTGGTGGACAACTGATGCAACATACTTGACTTCTTTGCCTTTCTTCATATCCTGATACATGTTAGTTATATTATTACTTATAAGTATTCACTTGGTCCCTTTAGTATAACTTTAAGTAATCTATAGGAGATTTTGTTAATGTACGAAATTCCATGTCCTTTGAATCGCCATTAATGAAGGCTAGAGATTCCTTGGTAATAAAGACATGGAAATTAATGCATATACATATTTTCCCATTCGCCCTCCCTATTTTGAAATATTTTATTTTGATATTTGGCAACACTGATAACATTTATCTTGCTATAGTTGTTTAATCTTGGTTTTGGAAGTAAATCCTCACTGCCAGTGAGTAAAATCACGTTATCATAGTTTTTCTAATCACCTGTAGGTTGGTTGGATTTTTCTGGTAGAATAATTTTTCTCTTGCCTCCGTGCCCACATCTTTCACTGGGCCTTGCTGGGTCTTACATGTACGAGAATTTCTGCTATTGGCTTTAGACTTGAACGATAGTTTTGGTGGATTTTAAAATAAACATTTTTGCATTGCTCTTTATTATCCTCGGAACTATGTGGAAAGTGCTCTGCTGCATTCTGGCATTAAATATCTCAATGGAAAAAGTCTGGAAGCCTGAGGCCGACCTGATAATATTTTTAATCTTTATTTGCAAGGGGCATGATATTTCTGCTAGAATGGTTCAAAAAATTCTTTATCTTTGAAGCTTGGTGACTTCATTTGCATATGCCTGGGTACTTATTTTTCTGTCAACTTTGTGTTCATGAAATGCTGTGTAATCTTTGAATCAACAGATTTCTTTTTCTTTCTTTTGGGAAAAATGTTTTATTACCTAATGAATTTTTTGGTACCATTTTTATAATTTTGACTTTTTCTGTTCTCTAAAGAATAAAATCATTCTTATATGTAGCATGTTTTCTGTCATGTATTCTACTTTTTTCTTTTATAAATTTAATTTCTTTACATGTTCTCCCTGCATTCAAAATGCAAGAGTGGGTTTGGCAGGTTTCTTAGACCTTCATCATAAATACCATAAATACAGATATGTCTTAAGCTCTGTTAGAAAAAAAAGTACCAGAGCTTAAGAAACTAAATAAAAAGTGACATCATTCGTAGCTAAAGCCAAGATGCCTGACTGAATGAGAGAATAGCCCATTTCATCATCCAGCAAGAAAACTGTCAACACCACGCTCTGGACGAATAAACACATCAAATACAAAGATGCCACTTCAGAATAACATGATTATAAGACACATTCCATTGCTAAATGATGTAAACAGGACACTAATTAGAAATATATAACATCTCCATTGCTGATCAATAAAACTTCAGACATCCATAAATGCTCAGTTAGTTAATAGTACAGTTAAAATCCCTCAGAGAAACACAAGAACATTGTCTGTTTTGCAAATAAGTACCGGAATGAGCACCTGGGGAAGAATTATTCAAAGTGGAAATGAATACTTGAGACAATGAGGTAATTTGGAAGCACTCCATAAATCTGTGTATTGACTGTGGGGATGCAATGGCAAAATGAAGTCTGGGCTTTAAATCAAGAGCTACTTCTGAAAAGCCAAGATTTAATTAAGACATTGTTTTATTCACTCCTCCATGTCATGCCAGGGACGCTCAGGCATGCTGGCCTCACTAAATACAGGATACTGCTGAGTCGAAAAAATTAACTATGAGAGGCTCCTCCAGCGACACAAACTGTAATTATAGTAAATCAGGAATTTCTACGAGTGCCCCTGTGTTGAAGAATTTGGCGTGAACTATGGTAACAGTCCACACTCCTTGATCTAACTCCCTTA